GCAAAGTTTCTGTAGAGAAATCAGCTGATAGCCTTATGAGGGTTCGTTTGTAACTGACACTTTTTCTCTTGCTGCCTTTAGAATCCTATCTTTAACTTTTACCGTTTTAATTATGACATGTCTTGGTGTGGGTCTGTTTGGGTTCATCTGTTTGGGACCCTCTGTGCTTCCTGTACCTGGATAACTGTTTCTTTCTCTAGGTTTGGGAAGTTTTCAGCCATAAGTTCTTCAAATACATTTTAAATCCCCTTTTCTTCTCCTTCTGGAAGCCCTATTATGTGTAGGTTGGCACATTTTATGTTATTCCATAGATCTCGTATATTGCCTTCATTTTTTAAAATTTGTCTTTCCGTCTGCTGTTCTGATTGGGTGATTTCCATTATTCTATCTTCCAGATCACTTATTTGTTCTTCTGCATTATTTAGTCTGCTATTCATTGCCTTCAGCTCAGTTTTTATCTTGGCAATTGAGCTGTCTAATTTTGACTGGTTCCTCTTTACAGTTTCTAGTCCCTTGTTACAGTGATCTATATTTCTATCAATCTTTCTTCATTCCTTTAACATTTTTATTACCTCCTTTTTGAATTTGGGGTCTGGTCAGCTGAAGAGGTGTGTTTCATTGTTTTCTTCAGGGGATTTTCTCTTGTTCTTTTAATTGGGAGTAGTTCCTCCACTTTTTCATTTTACTTAAATTCTCTGTCTGAATTTAGGAGAAACAGTTTTCTACTGTGGTCTCGAAGGGCTGCTTTTACGTGGGAGTGACCCGGTATAGACTGTGTGAGTCCAATATTTTTGGTGTGAGGGCTGTTTTGGGTGTGGATGTCTGCCACGTCTTTCCTCAGGGTGTGCTGGCTGTTGTCCCTTTGATAGGGGGCGTGTTTGGTGTTGTGGTGACCAGAGCCTGCACTGGATGTTGGGTGGGTCCTCCTCTTTGCTCTGTGGTTGTCACAGCTATGTTGGGGGCAGGGTCTGCTCCCCAGCTGTTGGAGTAGAAGCTCCCAGATCCGGCTCTAAGCTGCAGTGTGAGGTAGGTGGGACTGGAGCACTCCCACTGGAAAAGAACCCTTGTGTATTCCTCCCCAGGGGTTGCCCACAGGGGACATGCAATTCTGTGATGCTGCCCCACACCTGGACCTGCCCCTGCTGAGGGAGTGCTGATAATAGGCTCAGATGTCAGCCCTGCCCCCGCAGTGTATGCACTCACAGAGCCCATGGCCACTGTAGCCACGCCCCACCTGAGCACGCTGACAGCAGGGGTCTTATATGGCAGACTCGCGCCCCATCTTGCACGTGTTAACAATGGTGTCCAGACCATATTCCAGGCCCTTTGGGCTGTTTCCACACAGCTAAATCAAGTCTTCTCCCTGGGTCTGTCCGCTGAAGCCCCAGCCACTGTGCATACTAGCAGTAGCATGTTCTGGGCTGAGAACTGTGGAGACGTGGCTGCTGTCGGTGCTGGTCTCTCTACCCTGCCTGGCAGCAAGTCAGCACCCACACACACCTCCCGAGCAAAGTCCAGGCCACTCCACCTCCCTGTCTGCCCAAGCGGGCTTCCCAAATGCTGAAGGGGGATCCCAAGAGGAAGGAATCTTTCCTCTTTCAGAGCTCCCTCCCAGGGGCCCAGTTTCCATCCTGCTTTGTTTTTTTCCTTCTGTCCTACCTGGTTACAAAGAGATCTTTCTTACAGCTTTGGTTGTGAAAGATCTTCTGCCAGCTTTCAGCTGGCTTTCTGGGAGAACTCTTCCGCTTATAGATTTTTTTTTTTTTTTTTTTTTTTTTTGGCTGTGTTGGGTCTTCGTTTCTGTGCGAGGGCTTTCTCTAGTTGCGGCGAGCGGGGCCATTCTTCATCGCGGTGCGCAGACCTCTCACTGTCGTGGCCTCTCTTGTTGCGGAGCGCAGGCTCCAGACACGCAGGCTCAGTAGTTATGGCTCACGGGCCTAGTTGCTCAGCGGCATGTGGCATCTTCCCAGAACAGGGCTCGAACCCATGTCCCCTGCATTGGCAGGCAGATTCTCAACCACTGTGCCCCTAGGGAAGCCCTATAGACGTATTTTTGATGTTTGTAGGGGGAGGTGAGCTCTGTGTCCTTCTACTCCATCTTTTTTTTTTTAATTTTTGGCTGCATTGGGTCTTCGTTGCTGCGCGCGGGCTTTCTCTAGCTGTGGCAAGCGGGGGCTACTCTTCGTTGCGGTGTGTGGGCTTCTCATTGAAGTGATTCCCTTGTTGCGGAGCACGGGCTCTAGGTGCACGGGCTCAGTAGTCGTGGCTCGCGGGCTCTAGAGCACAAGCTCAGTAGTTGTGGCACATGGGCTTAGTTGCTCCGTGGCATGTGGGATCTTCCCAGACCAGGGCTCAAACCCGTGTCCCCTGCATTGGCAGGCGGATTCTTAACCACTGCTGCACGAGGGAAGTCCCTACTCTGCCATCTTGTTCTCCCTCCCCTAGTTAGTCTTATCACGACCTGGCTCGGGCTGTCATCAAAATGCATTTATGTTCTCTGACCTCACAGCAACCACAGCCAGCAGAGGCCAGCCCCAGGTGAACAGAACTGGATCCAGCCCTGCTGGTCAAGCAGGGTCCCTGGAGTCACAGTGCTGGAGTGGCGGGAGGGGCTGTGGACTTCTGGCGCCCGCAGGGACTTCCTTTAGGCAGCCTGACACAGCGCCAACTTTGTAGATGGAGTGACAATGTGGAGGAGGGGCCCGGGGGGCCCAGATATTCACCCCCTCGACCCAGGGTGTTCACACCCCCTCACTCCTCCAGGCCTGGGCATCCCAGGAAAAGATGAGAAATTGCACAGCTCCTCCTCTGCACCTCACATCCCAATAAAATATTTATTATTTCAAGAAATCTTTTAAAAAAAAAGAGAGAAAAGAGTATCTATTGCTTTCCCCCAACAGGTCAGGTCCTTGGTGACTTGAGTTTCTGTGGCCTCAGGAGCTGCCCAGGCCGAGAGGGCTCTCTGATGGGAGGTATCCACCTTCAGGCCCCGCCCTCTGGACTCAGGGCCCTGTGGCTGCCTCCCTGGAAGGGAGGAAGGGCAGGCCTAGGTGGGTGGGGCGGGTTGCCTGGAAGGGAGTGGGATTAAAAACGGGGGTGGGGTGGCAGTGTTTCTGACAGCCCCATCTGTTTCCTCAGGCAGCGCTCAGGGTGAAGGGGAAGGCATGCCACACGGATGGACGGCTGGATCCAGAGGCTGGAGGAAGCTGGAGGTTAGGGACACGGACGCAGCATTGATGGGGCAGGGGTGGCTACGTGGGGGTAGTAGGCCTGGGCATCCAGGAACTGGGCCACGTGTGCCATGGGGCTGAAGCTTCATCCCAAGCCTGCAAAAGATGCTTAGGAGGTGGGGGCAGGGTAGATTCTAGAGCCTGTTCTCAGAGGCTGGGGTGGGGACTGAGGCTTTGGAAACAAATCCACGGTCTGGAATCGCAGTCATGCTGGGATAGGTTTCAGGAAATGCCCAAGTGAAGAAAGTTGGAATAAACAAAGAGGGAAACAATTCAACCCAGGGTCTAAGTGGTCCCTGCAACCCTGACTGTGGTGCCCGAGTGTGGAAAGGAGGGGGATTTGGGAGAACAGGAGGGGTGGGGGTGCTGAGGAGGCATGAACAGGGTCCCCCAGCCTGGCCTCCCACCAGTCCCTGGCCAACTCCACAGGGACAAGGCTGACCCCTCACACATCACTCCCCACTCTGTGGACCCTCCAGTGGGCCACTGGGCAAGCATCACCCTGCTTCCTCTATCGTATGCCCAGAGAGGCCCCATCCTTGGGCCCAAGAAGGACAAAGGCCCTCACTCCACCTGGTCCAGATCTGGTCTTGCACAAAGCAAGGGGCCTCCGACCATCTGCTCCTGGGCCAGTGGGACCCTCTAACCAACCCCCAGCTGCTTGGCCACAACGCTGCCACGAGCCCTCGGGGTGAGAGCAAGGAGCCTGCCTAGGGCGGGCACCAGGCACTCGGCAGACTTGCCTCCCTCCCCAGACCTGCGCACCTATCGGCTCGGCCCACGTCCCGGCCAAGAAAGGAGGCTCCAGCCTGGGGGCGTTGGGGGGGGTGGGGGGG